AGTATTTTTCTCATGGAGCTTTCCATTATGAAAGTACTGTTTGGGCTCATTATAGTGACTTTTTTTCTCTGCAGTGCTTGATTTTTTTGAATAACTGGAGGAGATCTGAATTTTTCTTTTTTTCTTTTTAACTTTTCTTAAGTGACTTTTAAGATATTAATAATTCAATATGCCATCTTTGAACTTGTGATTTTTATTATGAATGTACAATTTTCACAGTCTTGACCCTGTAGCCTCTGGTTGACTGTGGATGCTATGACCTGAATTCAGCACAGCACTCAAACGCAGCCTTAAATTCAGCACAGTACTCAAACACAGCCTTAAGTAAAGTTTTTTTTTTCTTTGTTTGTTTTAATTGTCTAGACAGTCCATTGAAGGATGTATCGAGACTGTCCACAAAAAAACAGCTTCACTTGCTGTCACCATAAGGACAACAAACCCTCAGAATAAAACTCTTGAGCATATGTGCCTAAGCACAGTGTTTGTGCATGGTAAGGTATGTCTGGACAAGGTGGTAGGCAATGTGCTCATGCAGCCAAGATGTGGCTGGGCTGTAAGTGCATCTCTGGGCTTTCAGAGTGCGTCTGGAACTACTTTAACAGCTGTAAAAACAAAGATTAACTCAGTACTGATTTCATCTGGAGGAACTAAAAGTAGACAGGATATTTGAATGACAAATTTTATGTGGAGATGTCATTATTGTGATTTTAAAAAGCTCGTTTATTTTTCATATTTTTATTATCTTAGTTATCTTAGTACGATAACAATGCTCACACCACTAAGAAGACTCTCATACTCAGTTGGAATTTGGGCACTTTCCTCTCTTAAGTACTAATAATATTGTATACTGGTTTTGGTGTTATTACGTGTGCTACAGATATTTCTTCAGGCCTTCAGTTTCTTCAGAGAAGGCCAGGTAATCCAAGGTAATTTCTTCAGATCATGGTTGAGCCTAGCGCAGGGTGGGATGTGGTGCGAAGCAAGAGGAAACCTGGCCTCTCAGCATGTGCTATGAGTTGTAAGAGCAGCTAACTCCTTGGAAAGAAAGTGAAGGGAGACAGATCTTTCGAACTGTGAGAGGAAGAGAAAAAACTGCTGTGTGTGAGTAAAACTCTGCTGTTAGGAAATCCAGTAAAGTAGAGTGTGTCAGGCCTTGACTGACCTGGAGGCATTAGAGGAGAGGTCAGTTAGTGCCATGCAATGGTAATCAAACGGCACTGTAGAGTAAGGCTGCACTTCTTCCTTGTCAGCACACTCTTAATTGTCATTTATGTGCCTTGTATCACAAGGAACACAGGCCTTAATTCTAAATTCCTGTCTGCCTGTGTTGGTGGAATGGCCACATCACAAGATCTCTGGAGTATCTTTACATTGTTTTCTGCTTACAGGTTATAGCTTATTGTGAATGCTAAAATCCTTACGTTTTGCATATATAATTAGACCTTTTCAGGGGTTTGGTAATTCCCCATCTGATTTATTACTTTTCTAGTAAAATGCATGGCTTACTTTGTGGCTGATCTCCATTTCTGGCATGGGACATCTTTTGCTAAAGATTTGTATGATTCATGGCTTACAGGCTTTTCTGTAGAAATAAAGAATGTCTAGAGAGGCAGTCATGACTACCACCTTACCTGTGACTTCATTATGTAAAACCAAAACAAAACACAACACACAAGAGTCAGTGATTCGGAGAAAATTCTTACCTGCTGTTTATGCAGAATGGCCATCTGTCTGGCAAATCCCAATATACTAGTCAGATAGATTTGAGAAGAGCCAGACAACCTTCTGATGCCTCTTTCTCCAGCAGCTGTTGTGGTTTTTTTTTTTTTTTTTTTTATTTTTTTTTTTTTTTTTTGTCTTATGTGCTGATGAGGCTGTTTTTTGTTGTTGTTGTTGTTTGTTTGTTTGTTTTGTTGTTTTTCTTTGTTTTGCTTTGTTTCTTTTTTTTTAAATCTGTATTCAGAAGATTTTGAATTCTACTCTTGGCACTGTTGATAATGCAGAATATTTTGACCAAGTCACCCATTCTCATTATGGGCGTAAATTTTTTGGGTACCCACTTAGAACTGAAATTGCGCATGGGTGTAGTCACATAAAATGTTAAATATCCAAGAACTTCAGTCAGGTTTGGAAACTGCCTTTAGAATTGCTGAAAAACACCAAGGTGAGCTTCTTGTAATGTCAAACGGCATATCCTATTGGAGGATCATTGCAGACATTCACAATTGTCTATGTAAATGGATTCCAAGATGCAGGAAAATCGTGAAGTGTCAAAGTAGTAATTTCTAAACATACTCCATTTATCTCTTAGAAATGTAATATCTTCATAAATAACCAAATTGTCAGGGAATCCATTTTGAGTACACAATAGAATACAATTGCTGTTGGCTCTGCTCAGTGTGCATTCATGCGTAGCCTATTGAGATCTTCTCATTCAAAAATTGTCAGTTTCTGTGGGAGGCATTTTTTAAGCAGTAAAGAATAAGCATTCCATAGTTTTGTGTGTGTAATTTTGGGGGCACTTGTACTAATTTAAAAACCTTATAATAATTATGCAGGAAGACATTACTGTTAGGGATGTCTTGTTTATTTTGTTGTATTCTGTGTTAGATTATAAAAAGTGTTTGATCTTTGCAAGTCTTAATATAGTTACCATTCCAGTTAATTCTGAAGATATCTTCAAAGACATTTAGATGGCAAAATATATCTTCTGCAGATATAGTGAGTGTTCTTTTGTGTTTGCAGCCTGCTGCATTGCACTTCCTTGCTGGATAAACCAAATACACGCAACCTTCCATAGATGAATGGTATCTCCTGCAACAAAAGGTTAAGGTGTCATCCAATGATTTATCCTTCCCACTGGATTCATTGGGTTCCTGTGATAGGGACATAATTTACTACCTTTCATATATCAGAGGTTGTGCTCTCAAAATGGTGCTTGGGGATTTATGATATTGAACAGGGTGAATTACATGTCATATTATCAACCATCCTGTCTGACATTTAGTGTTGGCAGGAAATGGGCATTTAGCAAGTAGCACAATCTTCCAGTAGGATTGTTTTATTTCAAGGATTTTGTTAATCAAATATTTCTGAAGAAAATCTTCAAAATAGGCTGTTAATCACATTGGCCATCTGTGGCCATCTAGATGTTAGTGGTGTCTGTCAACCTCCATGCAGAATATTTTTAAGGTATTGTCTTCTTGATGAAAGTATTTCTTCCTTGAATCCACACAGATGTTGGAATCACAAGGTAAGTGGCACGCAGAAAAAGGGTGACAGAGAGTAAGGGAAAAGGAGATACTGTATTAATCAGATTGAGATTCTGAAAAACAAGTTTGCACATGTGTGTCGGCATTTGTCAGTTCTGTATAACACATATGCATATCTGCAAGACAGTTAAATCTTTATTCTGATTACAGCTTTGCATCATGTCGTGTTGCTTCTGAGTGGATAAGACTGCCTTGGTTAGGAGTGCCTACCAGTATCTGAATGGTACTTTTCAGAGAAGCAAATGGCCTCTTCAGTCTTCTTTTTTGCAGCAGTTATGTTAACTCTAGCAGAATATGGAAATTTCCTGGCACATACACTTTTTCAAAGTATGTTACTATCTGGCGACATTTCATTAAAGGTTTCCTTCCTGCTTTCCTTATTTGAGAACTCTTGCTTGGTTGATATAGCTTATGACTTTTTCTTGTCTACTTTTTTTTTTTTTTTTTTTTTTTTTTTAACAGTGCTCTATGACCTTAAATCAATATACTTCAAATGGTGCTTTGTGAGTTATATCTAGACTGGTGGATACTTGTATATGGCCTGCTATCTTGTCTCCAGAGGAAAAAAAAAAAAGAAGTATATTTAAATAGATGGTCCTGACAAAATATTTGATTGCCTCATTCTGAGGTTCTGATCCCTCTGACACTGGCCTGAATCTGCATTATTGCAGCCACACAAGAGTGGGAGATGTAGCTGGCAAACATGTCCTTGTCTGTACCTATATTGTCAAGCAAGAGATAGGAATTTCTGCTGCTGTAAGAAAATATGGTTTTGATATAAGTGACTATCATGATTGCCTGGGATATGGACCACATGTTGAATAAAGGTTCAAAAGGAGGCCATTCATTTAGTAAACTTGTACACCTAACACGATAAAGGTTCTGACATAACCTGGGGAAACAAAAAAGGGGCTTTCATCAAGTCTGATGCCTGTAAGTCTAGGCAATATGGGAAGCAGCAGCAGCTTATTGCATTGTTTGAGTATACGATCAATCAGACAAAGAGAAAATCAGGACACGTGATGAGTTTGGAAATAGTATTTCAGGACAGAATGTCTGTCCTCTTCAGACTGCCAAATCCTTTGGCATACTCTCTTCACTTAGAAACTGAAAATGCAAATCAGAAACTTTACTAGGGAGTTATCTACCCTTTGTGTTTTTCTATAAGAAAAAGATGTCATTTCTTCAATGCAGATATTCTATCCATACATTTAAGTTCCCAGAAGGCTTCTGCCAACATGAGAAAAATTATGGTCTAATGTATTTTCTGTTTTGTGAAATATGAATAATACTGGAGAGATTTTTAATAGTAGCGGAAATCAGAGGGACATTTCCTGTGCTCTTTAGTGACACTGGTAGTGATAAGTAAATAAAATGAATAAAATTTCAAAGAAGTGGGAAGGAGAAAATATTGCATTGATAAAATGTGGACAAGTGATGCGTGTTCAGAGCATTTCTGGAGGTTAGAAAGACTGTCCGTTCTTGATTTTTGGAATGTCATTGCTGTTTCATCACAGTTCTCAACCAGTCTGCTCCTTGGATGTGTTGTTCCTTGGTATAGAAGATTGACGCACGCTGAAAGGACACTTTTTTTTGAAAAATATTTCTTTTCATTTAAGCTATAAAAATAAAAACATTCAGTATTTTAAAAAACATATTAGATATATGTGTGTGCTACTTCTGTTAGGAGTTAACATTGCATCTACTATTTTTTTTTCTCATGTACAGGACAGTTTTCCAGCTCGCTTTGGAGGAATACATTTTGTCAATCAACCATGGTATATTCATGCCCTCTACACAGTTATACGGCCCTTTTTAAAGGAGAAGACACGAAAAAGGGTATTCTTTTTTTTCATTTTCCATTATCTGGTAATTGTAGTCAGCAGGTGTATTGTAATATAAATAGATTGTTATTGGTGGAAAGTTTTTAATTGCAATTGCATTGTAAAAACCTTCTTTAGCTGTTTTACAGACATCCTTCAAGGACCTTGTAAACAGTGTTTTTAAATGTATTTTTGCATACAAGCATGTGATTCCTTCTGGATTATATAATGGTATTGTCAGCATTGCAATTTCTATAAGAAAGTTGTGGCAATAAAATTTGGGAATGATTTGTGTCTTTCTCTTATGATAGACACATTGAATACCAAGTCCTTTCCTAGTGATTTCTTTGACACTAGTATAAACTAAAATACAACATGCACAGTAGCTTGAAAATAGTCACTTGAGTTAAAGCCAGTGAAAGGAAATATGTGTGCATGTGTCTGCATAAGCACAAGCAGTCTCTCAGACGTTGATTAATTTGCAGCATTTACATCAGTGCAATTAAGTTACAGCTTGGTAGCACATAGAATGATATTATTTCTGTAACAGGAAATTTGTCATCCAGCAAAACATAGCATTCCATACAAAATCATTACAAAGAGCATGATGATAATTTTTGCTTGTTCACTTACAGGATCAGGTCTCTAAGGAGCTCTGTTTTTTTTCTCTGCAAAGAGTCTACAAGGCTACAATGTTCCTTGGTGTTTACCTGTTTTTTACTGACATTATGCTTTAGAGGCCTCTGTATTCGCAGATTTTGAACTATAGATTACAAAGGCTTTTATGTAATATTTGTTATAAATATGCAAATGAAAACTCATTCTGCAGGATTCAGTTGCGCTCAACTGACTACAGCTTCAATGTAGAACAATACAGTGCCAGATATGTTTGAGGCCTATCTAAGCCAAGGACCATCTATCTACAACCAGGCAGTGCAGTACACCTCCTTGGTTTGTCACAAGATTAAAAATAAGTGACAAGGCAGTGCGATAATCAGGTATCTAAGTATTTATTGAGACATCTGAGTCAGTGGCTGGTGGCTCCAGCTCTTTCAACATGTCCTCGTACAAGAGGTGTTCCATCCCTTGGATCGTTTTTGTGGTACTCCTCTGGATGCGTGCTCCCACAGGTCTGTGTCTCTCATATACTGAGGACTCCACATCTGGACATGGTACTCCAGGTGAGTCTCAGCAGCACAGAGTAGAGGGGCAGGATCACCTGCCTTGACCTGCTGGCCACGCTTTTTTTGATGCAGCCCAGGATATGGTTGGCTTTCTGAGCTGTGAGGGCACATTTCTGGCTCATGTTCAACTTCCCATCCACCAGCACCCCAAGGTCTTTTTCATCAGGGCTGCGCTCAATCCTTTAATCGCCCAGTTTGTATTGGTGTGGGGGTTGCCTTGACCCAAGTGCAAGACCTTGCATTTGGATTTGGATTTGTCAGCCTGGGCTCACTGCTCAAGCCTGCATAGGGCCCTCTGAATGGCATCCTGTAGCTCTGGAGTGTTGACTGCACCTCACAGTTTGATGTCATCGGAAACTTGCTGAGGGTGCAATTGATCCCCCTGTTGATGTAATTTCTGAAGATATTAAAGAGTATCAGTCTCAGCACTGACACCTGTAGGACACCACTTGTCACTGATCTCCATCCAGACACCGAGCCACTGACTACCACTCTCTGAATTTGATCTTGCAGCCAGTTCTCTGTTCGCTGAACAGTCTACCCATCAAATCCATATCTTAACAATATGGAGAGAAGGATGTTGTGGGATACAAAGTGTCATAAGCCTTACTGAAGTCCAGATAGATGACATCAGTGGTTCTTCACTTGTCCAAATGCAAACTTTTTACAGCAGTTTTTGTTAATTCTTAGTCAGTTCTTCCATTAGTCAGATAGTTAAATATTACAGTTAATAAAGTTTGTTTTTCAGTAGGAAAGAGAACAAATTATTGTGAGAAAAAAAAAAAATCCCACAGAATTATCTTCAGAAGTGTATGAAGATCTCATTATTTATCTTGCATGCATTTCCTGAATTATTTTTGCAGTTTTTGAGAGGTCTGGTAGATTTGCAACTGATAATTGCATTGAGATAAATGTAGTACTCAGCATATATAAAGCAACTGCTAAAATAGTGAAACATCCAGTTTGAAAATGACCATAAAATAAATTGCTTTTGCTATTAATATTTGTTCTATCACTCAAAGATAACTCCTTTCTGAGAAGGAAATACTGTATTTGCATGTTTACATTAAACTTTCTGTCTATGCAGCTGACTGGAAGATGACAAAATTTATGACTGTTTCTTTTCTCATTCCCATTACAGCATCAGTTTTCCAGTTGAGGTACAGAGATGTCCCACAACCAAGTGGGCTAAAATATGAGACAAGCATATATTTGCTTTTTTTTTTTTGTCTGTCTGCCTTTTGAATTTAACATTTGATAAATCAAGGTATAGCTCCCCAGAGAAGTTATTGCAAGGTGAAGTAGGATAGAAACTGGTGGCATTCCATGTACATGCACACCCTGTCTTCCCCATGGAGAGCAAGAGGCAGCGGTATGAGGCAATAACTTCCCTTGCTTACTTGGCTGCTTCTGCACAAGTCAATTAAAAGAGGACTGGGCACTGCCATTCCTACTGTTTAATTGTACAGGCACTCTCTGGCATGGCACTGGCCAGTGCCAGCTAGTACTCTCTTAGACATTGCCTTGGAACAATTCAAGGACTAGTAAATAGTGTTGATGAGATCTATTCTGGAGATAAAGGGAATTTAACTCTGTGGATGTAAACTGTGCTGTAGCACTTGCTCCTGGTGCAAGAAATGAATCCTGGCCTTTTTGCTACTCTAGAAATCTTCTTTGAGCTCTCTGTGAAGCCACACTCAAGAGAAGGCATATCCTCTCAATGGAAGGTCTACAGATCCTCCAAAGTGGGAGAAGGCTATCCAAATCCAGAGATCCTCCATTTTTAGTACTCATTGATCACCTGTTGCAGATTTCTGAGGAGAAACAATGAGGTTAAATATAAACAGAAGTATAAATGTCAGTGTAGGTATATGTGCATATTGTATACATACATACACTATGTATATGTAAATGTAAAGCATATCTGAAAGTAAATCAGTCAATAAAAATACTGATTGACAATATCAAATAGTCTATCAGAATTCCCTTGTTGTCACTGAAAGTATTTTACTGTTATTACTTGCTTTGTTGCTTGCCATGTACAAACAGAAGGAAGAAATTTTCTTCATTATATTCTTGTTTGTCTTTTTAATTTTCTTTTCATAGAACTCAAGGGTGGATACTTGGAAGTCAATATATTCCTTAATGTATATAATGAATGCTAATTTTATTTACTGAATTATGTGCTTATTTTATGTACTTAATTTATTTCTCAGGATTAGGAGAAACAAATTACAAAAGATAAGCAGTCTGTCTGTCTTGACTTCTGTCTGTCTTGTTAGTCAGCATTAGTTCATACAATCCTTACGTTGCTTGTCCTGCAGACATTAATGCTTTAATTGCTTTGTAGGTGTATGAACATTGTCTGACTGTACTGAAGGTAGAAGTAATGTGTGCCTTGTTGGCTATTGTGTTAGCCCAACATAGGCATAAAATTGGAACTGTACAATATTCTGTCATAGTAATGATGTAATTTGGGCTTTGATGATTTTTTTGATACTGTTTTGTTTTTATCTTTTTATATAAATACAGATATTCCTTCATGGTAATAACCTCAACAGTCTACATCAGCTGATACATCCTGAGATCCTGCCTTCAGAGTTTGGAGGAATGTTGCCCCCATATGACATGGGAACATGGGCAAGAACACTGCTAGACCACGAGTATGATGATGACAGTGAATGCAATGCGGACTCCTACAATGCTCCAGCAAAAGATATAGAAAAGGACCTCTCTCCTAAGTCCATGAAGAGGTGGGTTAAAGATACTAATATGTTAACCTCATATTGCCATGAGGTTAACATTTGCCTTCTCACAATATCATAGAATAACAGAATTGTAGGGGTTGGAAGGGACCTATAAGTGAGCATTGAGTCCATTCCCCTGCTAAAACAAGATCCTTATAGAAGGTCACACAACTAGTTATCCAGATAGGTCTTTATTGTCTCCAGAGGAGACTCCACAACCTCTCTGGGCAGCCTGTTCCGGTTCACTCTCAAAGTAAAGAAATTCTTCATTGTGTTTGTATGGAACTTCTATGTTCCTTGTTTATGAACCTGTTGGTAGTTTCCTCAGCTTATTAGGTATAAGAACTTTTTTTTCCTTAAGAAGACTCTTGGCTATAATCCACAGCATTAATTTTCACCTCTTGTCCTATCACTAGTTGCTAGGCAGAAGAGGCTGACCAATTTGTACTGGTTAAGCCTAGCAGTGAACATATGGGACAGAGAATCTACATAAACTCTTTTAAATTAAGTTGGAATATGCTAATTTGAAAATTCATTTTCAGAACTTGGCATTTGGTGCAGAAAGAAGAGAGAATTTGGAAGCAAGTCAAACAGGAGAAAATATTTTGAGACTTGTCAGCCAGGAAAATGATGTTGTCTGGAGTATATCTTAAAGACTTGTTAAGACAGTGTAGCTTGAAAGAGATATATTTTTTAGGAAATGGGGCGGAGAAAATTGCCATAGAAATAAAAACAAACACATACACACACACAAAGAAAAACAACAAAATAACAAAAGATTTTATATCAGAAATCTAAAATACATTGAAAGTGGGAAATGTTCAGAGCCTGGCTGGGAATGAACTAGGATAAGTAAAGTTAAAAAAGATTGTGAATGCATATGAAAAAGATGCAACTATCACAATTGTTTGAGAAAATAGGACAGGGAAAGAGTAGCAAGGGGAGAGCGTGAAAATGAGTGGCATATTTATATACAATTTGTACTTAGAATTATGTAACAATTATACGTACGTAGAATTATTTGTAGCAAGAATTATGAAACAGTAGAGAAGTTTACTTGGAAAGATTGGTGGAATGTAGGAGCTGAAATACGGAATTCTTAGTGATGCAATTAAACCATGAGAGGAAGTTGCCACATCCAAGGATGCAAGAAGGACCCATGAGCAATTCTTTGACAAGACTCTCTGAAGCAGAATTTCCCAGACTACTCTGAAGAAACACTTTGGAAAAGCAGCAGATTGACAGATTCTTTTTTCTTTATTTAAGGAGAGAAAGCATACCTACTTTCTTCTCATTTAACTGGTGCTGAAAAGTCTTTCAAGCCGACTTATACTTCATTATATACTTCTAATTGATCTGCAGTTTACTGTCAGATATTCTTTCAATCTAGGCTAGCTGACGCAGTAGGAAACCTATTGCAGAAAATAAGGATGTTGAAAATTGGATCTATGTTAAATCCAGCTGAAATTTCCTCACCATCATTATATTCATTTTCAGTTAGCATATCTGCAGTACCTGCTGAAATCCTCCTTCCCAACTGCTGGATATAAAAGGTACTAAGTAGGCTTACTGTGACAGTACCAAGTAGGAGGGAATGGTAGCAAAATTCTGGACAAAATCCCACAATTTTGTAGTATTAGCTGCACAAACATTTTAAAAACAGAAATAAAGAAGTTAAGATAAGTAGAAAGAGGTAAACACTATGAAGTTTAAAATTAAATTTAACTTGAATTGGATATCGGACAGATTATACTTCTCTCTGCTTAAAACCACATTAAGTGTGGTATGTTACTGCAGAAACAGGACATCTGAAAACATGAGGTAGGTCAGTGAAAGTGCTTGAGTTCATAGGCAAAATTTCACAAGGGTAACAAATCGCCAACAGTTACCTTGTTTAATTTGGTTTGGCAGTCTAGAATTAACTTATTGCTTTGAAACATTATCATTCATAAACCAAGATCATGCTAAGAGTTCATTTCTTTGTTATTCATTTTTCCCCTTACGTGAACCACTGAAGTTCCTTAAGATCTGCTTGAACTTTGGATAAATTGGATGACCTCTCCTTGGAAAAAAGGCTGATCGTGGGTAGATTGGTGGAGATAAGGAGAAATTAACCCCACCAAATAGTGTAAATCTCTTATGAGAACACCTTCACAACGTGACACTGCTGCAGCTGTCTCAGTAATTGTATTTAGTTTGTGGCCATGTACACCCATGGCTCTCATGGCTGAGGCATTCAGATGGGGTCACAAGGATCTGCACATCTAACTCCACAGGGCAGATGTCTGAGTTGACCAAGTTTGCAAATTATCTTTGTATAGCTTTGGTTCCTTGCCTCTGCAATGGGACTTTGCATTATAGCTCTGTCCTGTTGTGACTTGTGAGAATATATTCAGCAATGTCTGTAAAGTTGTTTGGGAGACAGAAATAAAAGATGTTACGGATTTACATAAATACTTTCCCTTTTATGTGACTTTGTTCAGGAATTGCTGCTGAATTGGAAGACAATAAACATTGATTTAAATAAAATGAAAGCTATTTCTTCTTCTTCTACAAGGAATTTTTTCTCCTGAGCTTGCAAACCATAGGTTAGGATTTGTGCAGTTTCATTTTCACATCTGTCTTGGAATTGGGAAGCTTGGAGGCCCTGAGAATTTATGGTCGTTACTGCCTCTCCGGGAATTTGAGTCCCGGTTTGCCTACTTTTCATCTCTCCTTTAATTCCACAGATGAGAAATGGAAACTTCAGTTTCTCAGATATTGGCAGCCTAAGAAGGCTCAGTCTGCTATTAGTACTTAAATTCAATTGGGAATTCTATGAAATTAGTATGCTCCCACAGCATTTTTTATCTTGGTGAACTGGATCTTCCAGTACAGTTTCCCACCAGTAATTTTTAATCAGCTTTGATTTAAAAAAAGCTTTTCCATTTCACTGGTTTAACTTTTTGCCTGTTGAGCTGACTAACATTGTAGATGACGGTTATTGTACAGTATTAATTAAAAATTTTTAATTGTGTTTATCACAAGAGAGGCCATCAGATTTTCAAAGTTGATTTTCTCAATTGTAGCACTGGTAAGAGCATAATTACTGTTTGAAAATATCCTTGAATTTCAAGAATTCACATGAAGTTTGATTCAGATGTTTTTCCTTGTTTGTTTTTTTAACTGTTTTCCTTATAGTTTTTGAAAAAAAACTAATCAACTCCTGCAAACAGACTCATTCATTGGCTTCAGGGGATCGTTCTAGAGTGGGATACTGATAATATGTTTTTATCTTAAATTGATCAAGATTTTTCTCTGTGCTGTAGTCTTTAAGGTGGGCAAACTTGTAATGTTTCTTCTGATCAAAAATTTGTGCCTATATTGTTGAGATGCACACACATTCTAGCCATATAAGTCCTCTTTGCAGGAAGGAAGAGAAATTTATACCTCTAGCAGTAGATTCATCACACTTTAAAGGAAACATCTATCAAATATTTCTTTTACTGTACCCTAGAAGTGTCTGTTTTTTGACAATCTTGTGACATGATGTGAGACTCATTCTTACCACTTCAGGCTTTGTTTCCAACAGAATGTTTTATTTTGCTGGAGGCTGGGGCTTCTTTCTCCCCCACAAATGGCCGTTGCATGGTATCTATACCAGTGTCATGCTTCTGTGCTGAATCAGAGAATCTGGAAAAGATTTACAATCATCACTGAGTTCGTCCTTTTGCCATCCTTTTCTGCTGTGTTTAACTGAGCTGACAAGCGAGTTTGACAGATGTGTCCACTGCTCCAGAAATCCTGCTGGCTATGGCAGGCTTCCCCAGGGTTGGCTTAGGAGCATGCTCTGTTGCATTAAGTGCTGTTTGCAAAAGGAACAAATACACCTCTAGCTAATACATGCCACTAATTGCTGCATGCCGTTTGCCAGCTGGGTGGCTGAATTATACCTTCTTTACCAGACAACTGCTTTCTGGTAGGGGGGGTCAATGCTTACATCAGTACAAAAGACAGCTTAGTTTGCTCTTTGTTATGTGCTAAGGACGCGCTTTACTTGCTCCTTCACTGAATAAAGGAGGATCTATTTTATTGCACTTTTTGTCCCTATTTCCACAAACCAACTCAGAGCTCTTTAAAGGCATGTATCCACTCTTTAAGGGTATTTTCTGACCATTTGTGTTGACTGGATGCTCAGTGTAACAGTATCATTGTTTTTAAGCCCTGGCAGAAAGGAAAAGCAAAAGAAAGCTGAGATTTATCTTCATTTGTTTTCATCTAGAAATGTCAAATAAGCATGTTGCCCTTCTGCAGGTCTCAGTCAGTGGTGGATCCTGGGGTGCTAAAACGCATGGATAAGAATGAAGAAGAAAACATGCAGCCTTTGCTTTCCCTTGACTAACAGTTCCTGAGCATCAAACATGAACTGCAGTGGAAGGCACTCAGCAACAAGCAAACCATTGGGAAAGAGTGTACCAGCTGGAATCCTATTTACTCATGTTTATGTAGCATAATGGAAGCAGGCACAAGATTTTACTATTCTGCCTGAATTCTGGATGCCCTGGGGTGAAAAGAAAGAGAAGAAAGAAGGAAAATAATTAAAAATAGGAATCAGTAATTTATTCTGTAAGTGCCAACCTGTTTGTAAATACAACATAATCCTCTACTTTGACTTTCTAAGATATGGTAAGCAAATACTATGAGTGACTTCTAAATATGTCAGTGAAGTGCATCGTACAAAAGAGTAGAAAATGTGCATGCATACACACGTGTGCACACACAGAGAAACATGTACTGGACAAGAAAAAGTATCAAAGCCAATTAAATGTTGTCCTTCTTATAGGAAGCCATACTGCAGCTAGTACATTGACTGCAATATACAGTATATTCTCTGCAATGCTCAGTAATGTGCAAAGATAAAGAGGGATTATAAGAACTTGGGGATGCTGTAGCCAGTCAAGTATTTCCTAAATGTAGGAATTTATTTCCAACTAACTTTGTGGCTTAGAATTGTGACTTAGCATAAACCATGTAGCATTGTGAAGAAGATAACAGATGAGCTGGAGCCAACTCTTTGACAGTTTGATGTTTGGCTGTATGAGTCTGTGAGGTTTCTTCCTTAACTTTTTATTTACACTTTGCAAGTAACCCAGCGTGTTACCCTAAACTGGGTGCTGTAATGTGGGTCATGTTGGAGTTATTTCTCTTGCATTTTGGGTGCACGTCAAGAAGTTTTCCAGAACTCTGTTCTCCCTCGTAATGAGAAAATAATCCTCTAAATTCAGTGTAAGAACCAATGTTTGAAGTTAAAGCCTGGCAGCAGAGTTCAAAAGTTAATCACTGAATCCTGTGCATTGGGAGACTTGGATACATACATATATATATTTTTTACCAATCTCTGACAAACATGTAAGGTGACATTGTTAGACAAGTATATTTAATTGAAGGTTTATACAGGAAATCATACCAATTCAGTGTACTTGTTGTCAGCAACATGTACTTAGATATATTATAGATTGTATATTGAGATGACTTCATGATTAATATAGTGCAACTTTCCATAGAACAACAGCATCCCACTCCAAGCAAGGATTAATATGAATAAGTTGTAGTCAAATATCTCAGCCTATGTGTTTGGGGCACTTTTTTGTTTGTTTGTTTGTTTTTGTAGTGTAAGTGTATGTATTTAACATGTGCCATAATAGAAAAATATGTTTTACCTCAAAAGGGCAACAGGTTTCAGTAGGTATTAAGTCAGCTGAAATGCAGGGGCTGTATGATCATTGTGTGTTGACACGAGTACCATTTGTTATATGCTGAGACAGGAATACATCCTTTGAACTAGACAGGCATTTCTTATTAAGGTTTAACTTTGCAATCAGAATAAGACAGCATGGGATGCTCACCTAAACATCCAAATAATTGGAGATATTGCAACGCAGTGATTAGAAATATGCTCAACAGATGACCACTAGGGAGGCAGTAGCTCATAGGTACCTTGCCTCTGAAGCTCTGTGGTAAGAGTTTCCTCCATCACTTCAGTATTCACTGAAATTTCAAAATTGCTGGTTATGGTTACCTCTCCTTGCCTAGGATGATTCCAGATTTCAGAAATGGTGGACTGTGGAGAATTGAGAGAAATCTTGCAAATGTGTCATCTCAGAATTTGTCCATGGTGGCAACTTTGGCATTCCTCAGTGCTGAGATAAGCCAGTCTCTTCCAGCATCACCCTTGATTAGCTCAGGCAGTACATAGATGAAGCAGTTCATTAGGAATACTGATAAATAGAATATGCTTCAACATGCATATTGCAGAAACTTGTCTGAACCAGTCATCTTTTCACACTCTTATTTCTATTTTCATGATATGTGTTATGGAGAAACAAAGGGAAAAGATACAGAGCCTGAATTTGAGAAGTATTAATCAGTGGCAGTTGCAGAAAGGGCAATTGGGAACTGTAGCTGCCTACATCTTTGCAGTCTGTCCTACAAATTTTTAGTAGGTGAAAGTATTGTAATACTACTTCCACTCTTTGATGGGCTTGAATGTATGATGAGTTCTTATCTACAATTTTATTCTATTTTTTATGAATCTTGTAACATCATGCTATATAGTTAAGATGTATCTCTAGGATTTATGTAAGTGCCATATTTGAATGTATGTTATACATTCCCACATCTATGGCTAGTGGAATAGTGTATTGCTGTAGCTGATTCTTAAATCCTTACTAGATAAACTGTAATATCAGTATAAATGTTCTTTTCGTAAGGGCTTTGGGATTTAGTCACATCTGTGTAAACTGTGACACAGTAGTGATCAAAGTCTTCACAGATGCTGCTGTACACTTGGGCCAAACCTTGGTGTGAGCCAGCCCAGCACTGATTGCAGAGTACACCAGCTGTCTGGACAGAAAATGCAAATGCCTCTTAATCCTGACAGAGTATCTTTGTAGGAAAGTATATCTGCTCAACTGTATGAAGCTTCTGCATACCAACTGATAAATTTATTTTGTTTGTGAGGTCTTTATTAGCTGTAACGTTTTCTGATGCCTGATTTCAGCTTGAAATTAGTGAGCATAATTATTATTTACAGTTAGTGAAAGTGGGGTATATTATAAATTTGCATTACTTGGTCTTCATCTTTCACCATGAACAAACCTACTTTTTCAATAAGATCCTCACTGTTAAGGAGTTAGGCTACAGCTTTTATTTCACTGAAGCAAATTCTTGCAGTAGTAAGTTGTGACACTGGAAAAAATGGATAAAAATGGATAAGAAAACCAATTTTCTGTCACATGCTCTTGGTATTCTTTGAAGGCTTTTCTCTTTTACTCATTAGAGTACATAAAGTGTTTTCCCCTTCTCCCTGCTTCTTGTAGAAAATCTTTATAGATAGGTCAATTTTTAATAGCTGAAATTTGGACTGAAAACTTTTTCCAATCTTTATTATGATAAGACTTAATGTTGAATTTTTATAGCAGAATTGAAGTGCTAAAAATAAAATTCAAATGTTTGGGAGGGTCATTTTTATTTCTGACCTTTGTTGTATACTGAGTAGAATAAATCTTGTGCTTATGCATGCTGATATGCATACCAGAAGAATCCTGCCATATGAGGAACTTAGTGGAAAGACTGGATTCACCTGTTCAACCAGCTAAGTGAAAAAAAAATAAATAAAAAGGAGAAAAAAAAGTGTAAAATTGATTTAATGCTTTCGACAAGAACAAAAAATGCTTTCACAGAGTCTTTTCCACAAAAGACTATTGAACATACGTGGAGAAGTTGTGGAAACTTTAATGCCCAATGCTCTTTGATCCTGCAATGACAGATGTGCAAGTCTGTTGGCCTTATAAAGACAGGTAATCAGTCCCACTAAGCTCCAACAAACATGCAGGTTCCCAATAGATATTAGGTGTAATATAGCTTTAAGAAGTCTTTACAGAAATGTAAATTTATTGTACAGCATATTTAAAAAGATGTTTTGCACTCTGCAAACATGAGATGCCTATCACTAAAGATATTTATAATGGTATACATAACACAGAATTAAAGAAAATAGGTGTAGAAGGGACCTCAAGATGTCAGCTGTATTGTTGTGTGGAAGAGCAGATTTTCTTCAGTCGTGTTTCTCTTAAAGAATTGTTTTAACTCAGTACATTGCATGGAATGTTCTTTGTATCATTTAAACACAGCCACAGCACAGCCTAAGCACAATATCTGACAAAATTGTAACGTGATCATATTACGTTGATTTCTTTTATTATTTACTTTCATTATTTCTCTTTGGGAAATTAAAAAAGTTTACCAAATATAATAATTCTACCATTCAGAATTACCTGGAAATCAATTTACAGAAAGCTCTGGTCATGTCCCTGTTAATATATTGTTTTTACTATTATTAATGTATTCAACTGTTCAGATTTTTGAAAGGCATGTTTGGAAGAACATACGCTTAAGAAAAAAGTTCAAAATAAGACTTAAGGATTGCAGGCAGGGGAAAGCTGAGTTTGTTTTGGATAATTTTTACTTGCCTCTGGGGCAAGTCCTTTTGAGCTATCAACAGGATTAGGTACTAGGACAAATTTGTAAGAATATCAGTGTGAAAAACAAGAGACAAGATCTCAAAGGATTGAGTACAGAAAAATCACTTGGCTAGCTGTGTAATGTCCTTTTAATGAAAGGCATTTTGTGAGTAGCTTCTGTGCATGCATTTGTGGTGCTGAGACTTTGGACTTTCATCCAAAAACTTTAAAATATAATATGAAATCAAGAAAATAATAATCATCCCATTTCTCAGGTAGAAATATGGAAACAGTCAGTTAGAGACGTTCAAATCTCAAAAGAATACATTTGTGCTGAGTTTATGTATGGCAAAAGCAATGCTTTGATCACTCAGTCTGGTTTGAAATGAAAGAAAGAAAATCTTTTTTGTGAGAAGAATGTCTAGCTGTTGATTCAGTCATGCCCAGTTTCCTTAGAAATGTCCTACGCATTTTAGCTTGAGCCCTTTGCAAACCAGGGATGGTTTGCTTGAGTTACATCTGAATGTACGTGCCTTCTGCTGAGGAGCTGGTAAAAAAGGAGTATGTCCCCAAAATGAAATAACATTTTCCCCACCTAACTGATGAAAAACTGTTTACTGTTGGCTGCCCAATAGAGAATCTGAACTTGTCAAGGGAGGATCTCTTCACGATGGCTTTGAACAATAGGTCCTGTTAGCCATACAAGGAACACTGACATTTCATTTGGAGGCATTCTTAAGTGACCTCCAGTGAAAGTGGAGGCTAGCTAGATAGGATTCCACATTCTGTACTGTCTTGTAAATTTTAATGATGCTTTTTCAAAGGTCTCTATTTAGGACATTAACTTTGACGTATCATTCAGTCTGCATTTCAGCTTCCA